CCTGCTCTTTCGCCGATAGCTCGCTGTTCGCGTTGCTGTTGTGTCCTCCCGATTCGTTATCCGAATCCGCCATTTCCAATCTCTAAATACACCTTCTGCAGTGATTCCTTCGATTTCCCTCACCTAATTTTACAATTTCAACCACTGAAACTAGACTCAGTTCAACCTAACTTTTCCTCATCCCGATCCATTCTGATGCCGAAGATTTTTCTATAACTATCAAATTTAAGTTTCAGAAAAATATAGACCGAATCCTTCCACTTCTCGCTATGAAAATTGTCGGATACGAATCATTCTCTCGCAAAACAAATCAAGAAAGAAAGAAAAGTGCAGAAGAACAATCCAATTGCTAAACTCTATTGTTCCAAACCACTAATTGCGATTCCAGAATCGTATCACGAAGCAACACATCATCATCATCATCAAGTTCTGCTGCGCCTATCAGGAACTCCTCAAGTTACAAAATCGGTCATGAATCGAAAAGAATCAGATAATCATACAGGAGATACATTCAAGCACCCGCGACGCGAAGGGAGAGCGGCCAATTTTCCTGCAATTGAAGAGACGAGAAAGGGGAAAAAGAAAAGAAAACTACCAGAATCAATTGCGTTAATAGAGAGACGAGTAGTGATTAAGCAGAGTCGGTTAGTCAATCAAGGCTTGACCAGAATTTCTACGCGACGGAGGATGCCGGAGCCGGTGGTCGTAATCGGAAATTCTGATTAAAGAGATGGAGAAAGTCGCCACCGGAGAAGAAATACTCCAACAAAACAGGTAAATGGGCGCTGCAGTGTTGCAGTTGTTAAGAGTCCGTCGCGTCGTTTGGGTTAATAATGCATCGGGAGCGACACGTGTTTCGTTTCCCACCGTTTATTTGTCGATAAGAGTACGCTCCGTGGGAGTTTCTGAAGCGTTGGATTCACTAGGGAACTAGGGGTGATCCAACGGTGTAGACTTTGCTACGTGACGAAGGGTGATTGGTTGTTCTATTTGCAACTGAACAATCATCGTATTTTTTTTTTTAAATATCTAGCTAGGGCGGCCTGTTCGGCTTCGCTCAAACGGCTTCCGCGGCTAATTCTTAGCTAAATAAATTATCCAACCCCTCCTTTTATCTAATTCAAATTCCGGCGTCATAATTACATAATCCATTTTATAATTATGTTTTTTTTTTATTTTAAAATCCATTTTATAATTAGAAAATAATGAGTACATTTACCTATTATATTAGCACTATATTGGTTCAAGTTCTTGTGACTCCAACTTTTGTTCATATACTTTGAAACATTTATTATGTATTTTTCAAAGTCACAACTTTAACGAAAATTATATACACAATAAATTTTTTTAATACATTGTTACGAATAAATTTTTCAAAATATATCAAGTATCATATTGAAATTACAATTTAAAAATGATATAAAAGAAAAGAGGTAGAAACAGTTACTTTTAAAAATAAAGATACCAAAATATTTCAGAAATATAGGAAATAAGATAGATAAAAATTGAAAGTAAAAGACCAAAATATACATTTTAAATATAAGGAGATAAAAAAGAGAAAAAAATTTAAAATACAAATACAAAATAATAGTTTAACCTAATAATTAAATTTGCACCCCCCTAACATATGATGATGTCATTCCATTGTGGCGGCGTTTGGATTAAGTTTTTCTAATGAGATATTTAAAAATATATAGGCTGAAAATATGGACAAATGTGCTTGGATTTGTTTAAAAACTTAATTCATGTTTTCATATTGTCTAGATTATATTAAACCATATCATAAATAAAAATTTGAAAGAAATTTCTCAAATAATGTTTCTAATTTATTGAATTATTGAGAGTTAGTTAATTGAGCAATTGTATGAATCAGTTTTATTTGAATACAAAACTCCATTAATTAGAAGTAACATTAACACAGTAATCACTTGAAAGCAAAGCCAAAATATGATAGTGATTGATGGTAGGAAAGATACAAACTACAAAATGAAGACAAAAAGTAGTGGAAACTTTTACTAGAAAATTAGAAATCCCACTACTTGAGTGGGTTTTAGATGGTGCTCAAAATAAAATTTTTAGGGTCAATTTTGGAAATATAAATTTTATGAAAGTTAAAGATATAGGTAAGATGGTTAAATTTGGTTGGTGAAAATGAACTTGAGATAAAATGTTATGTCTAAAATCTCGACCAGATTAAATTACAAATTTAATCATGTTAAATATAAAATTGAATAAAACTATGCTGGTAAGATTTGAATTATTTAACCAAATAGTAATAAAAGGAAAAATGTTTGAATGGAGTAGTGGAACATGAAAATTCTCTAATGGCCATTGCAATAGAATTTTCTCAAGATATTTTTCTCTCACAAAGTTGTTTTTAATCTTTTTTTTCTTTTTCATTTAGTATACCTTCCACTCGGAAAAAAAAAAAACAGCTAAACTACGGTCATGTTGGTGAGAGTTGTTTTTTCCTTTTTAGATATAGGAACACAAACAATTAAAAATCCCTTTTTAGAAAATTAAAATCTTAAATTAAGGGTAGTATATACTAAACATTACATGATTTCTAATAATATTAAAAAAATTGTTCATTTAATAAAAATTCCTTATGAAATAATTAAGTGACATTAAATTATTGACTACAGTTGGCAATTGAAATTAAGTAGTACCAAACAATAGAGTGGTGTTGATTATTAAGACAAATTAATGATAATTAATAAATGTTATTATTACTATTTTGAGTTTAAAGATAATTGTTATCTCATTATTCAACTATATGTTATTAATATTTTTATGCTATTTATTTTCAGGCATAGAAAATTTTAATGAGTTATTTTCAATACTTTATTAACTACTTTCATAAGATCAGAAAGTCAAATTTTAGATATTTAATTTGTTTAATATATGGAAAAGTGAAAAGTCTAATGGAGGACAAAAATATAGTATTAAATTTGATTATTATAATACGTAACTTACGTTAGGTTTAAATCCTATTTTTATGATTAAACTTACATGCTTATAATTTTAATTTGATCTCTAACATTTTGAACGTTTAAATAAAGTAGCCTCATCAAATTTGTATAATTAATTAATATAATAATTTTTTCAATAAATTATGTAATATAATTTTTTTTTAATACAACATGTAGGGGTGGGGATCAAACTCCTAGCCTCTTGGTTAGAGACATATATCAATTACCATTGACTATGCTCGCTTTGGTCCTGTAATAATAGAAATTTGACAAACGTACATCCTCTTAATTCATTTTCTCACCTTATGTAATAGAAACTTAGCTAGAGGAGGCGAATATTGATTTTTCGAATAGATTTAAATTTTGTCAAATAGTTAATAAAAAATTAACCATATAAATTAAAATAAGTATTTAGGAAAAGTTTATAGATTAGAGTTGGAGCACTAAAATAAAAGTTAAACCTATTTAATATTCATGTATCCGGCCTATTACTAATGTATATTAATAAATATAAGCCTACATAATCCCACTCTATATGTTGTTGAGTTTAAAAAAAAAAAAGATATACATGTCATTTTACAATCTTGCATTGGTTATATAAAAAAATACATAATAAATTGAATTTGGATATATATTATTTTAATAAATTAGACTAGACTTTTAAAATGTCGATTTAATATTAAAAAAAAAAACAAGGTATTTTTTATTTTAGATAATATGGATGAATAATTTACTAGTTTACAATTACAAAATTACAAACGTGAGTTCATGAAAGATCACTGTAGATACCACTAGTGTACTTAGTGATTTTAAAAAGACAAAGTATAGTTAGATAAAATATAATAACTACTTATATAACTTCAAAAAAATTAGATATTAAATTATTTATAGTTGACAAATCAAAATTTGAGGTAGACAAATCAATTATCCATCCTTGTTAATTATTAATGTGAACGACATTTATGTAACTCAATTGTAGATTTAGTGAAAATTTACACAATTGCATTTGTGATATAACATTTTAACTATATTTAAAAAATATAAAAAAATTAGATTAATTTACTCAATTTATATATACCATTATCCTTGTCAAACAAAAATAATAAAAATAAAATAAAATGCATGCCATTTACTATTTTACTTTTTCCTAGCAACTTTATATATAGAATTTGTTTTTAAAATGTTCCATATTTATGATAATAACTCATTTTTAGATTTAAGAATAGAGTCCGAAAATACTAATAGCATTCAATTGTTGTATATATATATATATTTTATTTCCTTCATAGGCTATATATATTCTTTTTTTTTTAATACCTTTATAGGCTATATCTTACACTTAAAAAACAGTAGCCCATTGAGCCCAGAGGTGTTACATTTGTTGGCCCAAAAACCGCCCTTGCCTAAAATCTTTTATTTTTTTCCTCTTCTAATTGAACTATTCAGCATCGGCCTTTTGACAAGTAAAGGCAATTTATGGTTGAACTGTTTAGGTTAACATAATATCTTATTCATGTCTGAATTAAAATTGGCCGAATCTCTTAATTATGACAATATAGCTCCTTATTTTTTTACACGTGTTATAGAAATTTTATTTTCTTTGATTACTCAAATTCTATGAAATTTTTCTTAATAAAAAAATAATAATTGTACTATTGTGTATATATATATACATATATATATTTGGAAATAACTATTGTACCTAATATGGCTCTTCTGAGATAAATATTATTATTGAACTAGATAAAGATTTATGAATATTTATTACTATTATGTAGAGTATTACCATTCAAATAGGGAGGGGGAAAAGTTATTAGTGTAGTTTCGTTAGTTGAATTTTATCAAATTCAATATTTATTTTAATGGATTTTTTTATAAACATGTTATCATACTTTATTGAGCATTTATAAGAAAAAAGATATTGAAAAGATTAGTTTTTTAAAATTGAAATCATAACTACAAAATTATAATATCGCATCCATAACTTTCTGACGAAGATGAAGAATTCTAAGAATGTTTGTGAAATGGCAACCTCAACCCCTTTAAAAAATATTAAAAATTATTTATTTATAATTTGGCCCTCCTGAAATTATTAGAAATATCAGAAGCATCTACTCATGTGACAGTGGCAAAAAGTGACATAAACATTTAATTTTGTGACATTTGCAAAACTTGACCTAAGCATTCAATTTTGGTTAAAACTCTTTCCCAAGCTTCCCTATTTGACTATATTGTGTATATATATATATATATAATGATTTAATCTTATACTTAAGAAATTGTAACAATCAAGTTATTCAGTGATATAATCAAACCATACAAATAAGTAAAAATTTGGACAAGCTTGTTTTTAGTTATAGGGAGGAAGAGTTGAATAAGTTGCTTCATGATTACAATAAAATCTTTAAATATTAGTAACTCATTCATGAATAAAAACTAAATTAAATTTATATATAACACATATAAATGAAATGAAATTCAACCCACATGAGATGGGGGAAATTTGGGTGAAGTTTACAACACTAAACACAACACCAGAACAGAAAAAGAAAAAGTAAGAAAAGAGAAGCAAATGAAAGTGGAATTATGATTATGTTAACTTAGGAGGAAAATAAAGCAAACTGCAAAAAGAATAAAGTAGTAGCTTTTTATTTTATTTTATTTTTATTTTTAATGGAGGGCAAAGAAAAAAAAAATAAGTATCCAAAGTTTGTGACAGAAGGAACCCAGATTTTTTTTTTTTTTCCTTATAATTTTTTCCCTTCATAGATTGCATTAGAAAAAAACTGTAACACAGTGATAAACAACACGAAACCCACAAAAATAAACCTAATTAATTTAGATAACAAAAGAACAAAACCCATTTACAGTAAATCTCCAAAATTACTCCTTTATTTTAATTTTGGTTATTTTAAGCTTCAATTTCGAACCTTGAGTATTTAATGGAGCCCATGGAAATGTCGATCTCAATCAAATTCTCCTCCTCGTTGATGTCGTTAATTTCTGCCAACAGCTCCACCAGATTCTTCTGTTTCTGGAAATCCGATAGTTTCTGCAAGTGGAACGACATGTCGTCTTCGTCTTCGTCTTCCTCGTCGTCGTCGAATTTGTGGCTGACGTAATGTCCGGTCGGGAGAGCGATTTCGATCAGACTTTCCTCGTCGGAAATCGAACCGTCGGAACGGTCCGGGTTATGGGCTGTCGTCCGGTCGGAAAACGGCCACTCCACTTCAGATTCCTCGGTTGTTGTGAAATTATCATCTGCACACTCACTTTCCGACAGCAAATCGCCGGTCGGAGCTGACGCCGACGAGAATTTCTGGTCGGAATCGAAGCTCACTTCTGCTTCTGCTTCTTCTTCTTCTTCTTCTACAAATTTCTCAATCGGAATCGGAATCGGAATCGGAAGGGAATTTCTTTTGGAAATTGCAAAGTAAAGCATAGACATAATCAGAATTGTAGAGGTAAGTGGGAAATTAGAAGAAAATCTAAGGCCCAAAAAACCCAAACAGAGCAGAAGGAAGGAGAAAACAGAGAACCATGATAATGGGTTTCTCAATGGAGGAGTGGCCATTTGATCCTCAACTCTGATTTTCAACTTCATAGCCACCCAAAAAAGAGAAAAGAAAAGGGCCAAGGCAATCAATTGTTTTGAAAAACAGTGAAAAGAAAAAAAGGTCAAACTTTTCTCTCTCAAAGGCTCGCAAAAACAGTAGAAGAGATGGAGATAAAGAAAAAGGCTGAACCTTTATTGAGAAACAGAAATTTTCTCAGGAAACAAACAGTCCCCAATTGGGTTGTAGCTCCATTGTTATGGCGATATGGGCATGGTTTTGTAAGTGGTGGTGTTCATCTGCAAGTGATTCTCTAGAAAAACCCAAAACAAAACCTACCCCAAGTTAAATTTCCCTCTTTTGGGTCATAGTTTCATCGAGCCTGGAAATGAGGGAAAAGCCATGTGCACATCTCTGAGCTCACCACATGGCAATTTTCCCAAAGACTGAGTTTTTATTATTATATTTTCTCTCTGATTCTGCCATTTTTTCTCTGTTAATTTCAAGAAAATGCTGAAATTTTACCTGCTACCATTTTTGCTGTGATACACAGCCGTTGGTTTGGTTTTGGTTCAGTTCAGATTATATCCAAATCTCCTGCTCAACAATCGAGATTTGGTGGGTTGCTTTGCTGCATTTGACATATACAATTTGTACTTTATGAAAATATAATTTTTCTTAAAAAGTTTCAATTTTTCACATGGCCTTCTGTACCACCAACAAACCCAACTTGCAGAAAACTCATATGTACCTTTTAAACATTTCTTGCCAATTTGCCGGAAACCCACCAGTCCACTCACCTACTTCTTGTTTTCATTCCACCTTTTAATCGTCATCATATTATTATTATTTTTTTATTTCTTTTTCATTTCTTCACTTTAAAAGTTCAATGAGCAGAGCAGAGTTAACAAATAAGGAAACTAAAAAAATGGAAACAGTTGCAGAAGGGGAAAAAGAGAGGCCAATAAAAGGGATGGTTTTTGAAATACTTGCACGTCCATCATCAATTATACTGAAGAAATCTGCACTTTGTTTTAATAACAAATCAAGGGTTTTACAGAAGCCACCATTTTTATCAGCATTTTCACAGAAGAGGTTTGTGAAGTTTATTTTGCTCAATTTTGTTGAAGGAAAAAACATGTACACCACCACCAAGTACCCCAAGGTCTAGGAACCTGTTGGGGTTAAATTCAACACTTTTTTTTTTCTTTTCAATTTGATCTTTTTTCAACATACGCTGTTGAAGATTTGTAAAAATGTGCTTTAGTAATGATGGTTTTTGTGTAGGCTTTTGTCTTCTGTGCTATAAGTGTGTCGCTACCAAACACAAAATTAAAGCTTTTTTTTTACTTCTTTAGGGTCTCCCATGGCCGGCCGTCTGCTCCCCGGTGGGCAGAATTTGATGCCCCACTAATCATGTTCATTACCCAACTTCTATTTCACGTTTTTTTACCTCTTTTTTTTACCTTTCTCCTTTTGAATGAAAACGCAAGATGTTATGGGATAAAATTAAGAGCTGACACATGGACCACTCCAACGAAGTCACATTGACTAGGAGGAAAGGCTTGTGTCGCTTGAGAAGCAGGTCAGCTGGATCCCTATTCGCCCAGCGGGATATCCGTTGATATTCTGCAAAAGGACTATCCTATTGTCAGGATACCCGACCCTATTGCAACAAAAAATCCTCTTCCTTACGAGTATGAATTCTGACTACTTAAACTCGCCTTTTCCCAAATCATCCTCATAAATGAAAAAAAGAGTGAAACCCTTATTAAATGTATGCAACATCTTGCGCTTAGCCACTCGCTCGTCATTTCTAACCTTCCAACCTAAGTTCTAACTTAAGTTTTGGAATGCATTTAGTTGAAAACCGGACATCTATGTTAGGATTCTGACATGTAGGTACCACTTTGGATAGACGAGTCTCTCTTGCATCCAATTCAGATTAGCGAGACTCCTCAGTTGGACACACACTGCCACGTCACCTCAATGGTCCCATCAACACAAAAAACAAAAGACAAAACCAAAGTTGTAATCTTTTTTGTTGCCCATATTTTCAAGGATTTGGGAAAGAGAGGTTTCAAGCAAGAAAAAACGAAGCAAGTTGTTTTTTTGGTGTGTTGTGTGATCTTAGGGAGAGGGCCTTTCATCAAGTGAAAGGGCATTCAAGAAGAAGGAAGAATAGGGGGGTAGATGGGAAAGTAACTATAATAATAAAGAAAAGTCATGGTTTGTTTTATTATCAGAGCCAGCCTTTGTTTTGAATCATATTTTGGTTTGAAATAACTCTCTCCCCAGCGTATAAACCAGAGATATTGCAATCTTTCTAATATATACTTATTTTGCCCATATATGGATCTCAATCTTTTCTCACTTCTCCAACCTAATTACCATAAAGAAAATGGAAAAGGGTTATAGGTTTAGAGTGGGATAGCCGTTCACAAATTAGCTAGGAGTATTTTAGGATGAGTTTGAGATATTTTGGAAGGATACACCATATACTTTATTCAGGCCTACTAAAAGAACTCAATTTTCAAAAGTTTTATTCATCAAATGTGGATTTTGAAAATTTTTTAAATGGTAAGAGGCGGTTTTAAGATAAAACAAATAATTTCATTTAGGATGTCAAAATTACGTGAGAGGAAGAACTTCTTCTTGGTGGAGTATCCTGCTAACAGAATATCACAACTTAGTGACTAGCTAGGAGCAAAGGTAAAGCCCACTGAACCTTGTTTTTGTTTGACTTGCCTATCTTCTTTTAAGAAGCAAGTTCTCTCCCGTGGTCCAGTTCCCAGACGACTCTCGATTTTTGAGCATATTGGGAGACTAAGCGGCAGTTGAAAGGCAAATCGGAAACTTGATGAACAAGCGAAAAAAGAAAACCCTAACTATTTATTTGGGTAAAAAGCTTTCCTTTACTAGTTATCAAGTGGTGAGGTAAAGTGCGATCTTAGAAATAATCAGACTCTAAGAAAGCAATTTAAATAGCTCATTTGATTAGCCTCGTGTCAGTAGTTCAAATCCACCCATCATGACTTCAAAAGCCTAGCCTCCATATGTATATACATTCTACCATATCTATTATGGTTTGTATGAAGTTTAGCTGATCAACCGATCATCTTCGGAGTAAATAGAAGAACAAAAATGGGGAAAAACTAAAAAGAAAGTAGGGAAAGAAATATTGAATTTTGAACAAAACCCAATAATAATCCAACCCATGTTTGTGAAATTATAGGTCTTAGGGTTTAATTTGGATGGATGAGAGAGAGGAGTTGAGACCACTTGTCGGCCAATTGCACAAATAAAGCAGTGCAATGCCACATGAAACCCTAATTAGATCAGCAAATTGAGCACAAGAAATGAAAAGAGAGGGGACGAAGAAGAGAGGACATTGGGGAACAAACTCAAAACCCTACAAAAAAATGTTATTAAAATGGAGAGTGGTTTCGAGCTTGGAGAAACTTGGCCTTGAAAGAAGGAATGTGATGAAGAAAACCAGCAACCCAGCGTTGGGGAATGTGATTTAGGAATGTTTTGGATGCCAATTTCCATTCATCAAACTGGGAGGGGACCATATCTTAGTTGGTGTGTGAATTCATGTTTCTTCGTTTTTTTTCTCATTTCTTATTCCTAATTATATATTCTATCGATTTTTTTCTCGAGAATAATTTCATTTTGCGAAAACAACATTGTCTCTCACTAAAGATGAATAAACAACCATTCAACTCAAAAGTCTGTGTGAAAATCATTATACATGGGGAGGGAGAAACAACAAAAACCTCCTATCTAATACCATTGTTAAGAGGAATAAACTACCGTTGAATACAAAAGTTTAAGCTAATAGGTTGGGTTAATTTAATTTATATAATGGATATATCAACACCTCTAAAAAAAAGTACTTGATCGACCTCTATATATATATAAAATATAAGTGACCACCGTGATTTGAACTGATATCATTTCCTCTAAATTTTTTAGAATTTATCTTGAGTTCCTTTTGAAACAATGGATCAACCTATGATAATGCCTTCTAGATATCTTTGGAGTCATACATGGCGTTCTCTAATTGACTTAAGTCTTGACATAGTTTTAAAATAAGACTATATTCTTGTAGAATATAGGTTGAATTGAATTCTCTTGTTGAAAGTCACTTTGATCTTTCTTCGTCTCATTTTTAATTCCTTAGACTTCTATTCTTTTTCTTTCTTTTGTTTGTTATATTATTTTGTACTTCTCTCCACGGGGAGGTTTTACATGTAAAGGGTACTTGATCTGTACTCATGCCTCAAAGAATCAAAATTGTCAAAAAAGAAAAAATTCTTAAAGATATGTAATATATCTAACCATGTTCATTGGTCTAAAAGAATTAGGATTAATAATTAAGATGGAATGAATTGATGACCATCTATTTTAGGAATTGTAAGCTATTCGAACACTCAAATATCAAAATGAAAAAAAAAAGTAATATATCTAAGAATTTTACACTTCTAATTGATATATGAGACCGTGTTGTGCATTTTAACACATACTTTTTAGTGTTATTAAAGAAGATCAAAGCCACGTGTTTTTAGAATGTTGAAGCACATGAACAGAACAATTCAAATTAAAGTTAAGACAAATGTTTAAGACTAATTAATTTCAATAATCTCTCTTAATCCCTCCCATGTTCTTATAATTTTTGTATAACATGCATCTCTCTAGGCTGTTTTTGGTAGAATAATATGAAAAGATAATCATGTAAATTAAAAAAATAAAAATAAAATTATACAATCAATCTCACTGTGTCATGCTTTGTATCTATACTATGATTGCTTTTTAAACAAGGATATAAAAGTATATATTTTCTTAAAAAGTTTAAGAATCATTAAAAACAAAAGTACACAATCAATCTCTTTATAAGAACCATATGTTTGACTAAAGTCATTGTGTCATGCTTTGTACCTACACTCCGATAAAAAGCTATTACTTTTTAAATAAAGATATGAAAATATATATTTTCTTAAAATTTTAAGAATCATTAATGATTCTTAATGTTATATATGTGCCCTATACTAATGTAGTATCTAATTAAGATGGTGTAGAAAGTGAAAGTCAACTCGAAATAAAAATATCATAGACTTTGATGCAGATATATGCTAAACCTAAAAGCTAACTAATAATTTATAACGTTATTTGTTATTTGACGCTCCTTCTAAAAGTTAAATTATAATTTATAATGTTAATTTTGTATTGGGTGCCACTCTAACGTAAGATCCTGGCAAGCTTAATTAGCTCTATAATCTATATGTAGGCATCAAATTTTTCTAAGATAATGTTTTGTGAGTTTTAATCTGGATATATCCTTCAACTACCCTAACATCCATTTCTTTATTGTTATTTTTTGTTAGGGTTGTGAAAAAAATTCATATCAAAATTAACATAGCTCAACGGTAATTGACATATACCTCCAAACAAGAGGTAAATTCATGGATAGTTTGGATGGTCGACTTCTTGGTAATAAAAAAAAGTGAAATATATAATAACGATAGTTTAATTTATTTTTGCCAATATCCCACTTACCATATATTTGATGTCAACATCCAACTATCAATTTGAAGTACTATATATTTAATTTTAGTTTAAGAACTGAATATTTAGATTAATTAAGCTCCACATTAAACTTATGGTAAATGTGTTTGAGTCTCTTATATGCAATATAATGCTTAGCTAAAGTCCGTTTATATTTTTTTTGGATTGATTATTAATACTTTTTCCTCAAATGGGGCTATGAACCAAAAGCAAAAATAGATTGCTAAGTCTAAGATCATTGAGGGGTATCTTTAGATTAATCTATATAAGTTTTAAAGCTACTAGGGCTACTAACTAATCATTCTCCCACTTGAATAAAATCAGATGCCCACTTCCTTTAGTTTCTCTTCTTTTTTTTTCCTTTGATCCCCACTTCTTCCCCCAAAGTTTTTCAATCTAAATTCCTAGGGCTTGTATGAAATTAATTTCTATGTTTTTTTTAATAAACTTAAAAATATAATTATATGTTCTCCTAATTGAGTCAAACTTTTGATGAAGTCTCAAGTATATAAAGGCATTTTATTCAAATAGTAATATTTCATTTCGATAAAATTTAGTTATTGGTTTAAAATATCTATTATCGAGTTCAAATTTTTCTATTATGATCAAGGTTTTAAATATCGATGTTAATGGGAGTGTTCATGTCTCAATTTCTTGAAAAAATGGATGGAAATGTCGATAAAGCGTCAATATCAATAGATATTTTTAAAAAATTAGATAAATTATCATAAAAAATATTTAAATTTAACAAAGAAACTTCTTTCATTTTTTAAATAAGTTAAAAATAATCAATATTAATATTACGTATATATTAGTGATATTTAGTTGATATTTTTTATATTTTGTCGAGTTTTTGTAATATGATGGAAATCTCGATTTACGCCTCATGTCGATATTCATAGATATTTAATACCATGATTATGATTGCCTTTTAGCCTCATTTTGCTTGTATGTTTCTCGCATACTTTTTAAATGAATGGTTCGTCGTTTTTTCAAAATAAGAAATAGATAGCCTTTTGGTTATATATATCCAACAAAAGGCAATCATAATCATGGTATTAAATATATATGGTATTAATATACCAACCAAAAATCTTATTTTAAGAAATAAAGAACCTAAAATAAGATTTTTCGCCGGTATATTTTTCTTTTGTTTTGCTATCTTTTGTTCATATTTCAAGAATAATTAAAAAGCTCTTTTTTTCCCTTCTTTTCTCTTAGGAATGAAAAAACTTGTTTGCGGTTTTTTTTTTTCAATACGTCCATTTCAAGGCAGAGAAATTATTAATAAAAGAATATTATTAATTTTAAGAAACAGATTATAATTAAAACTAAAATGATTTCGATCATAAATATTAATTTACACATTTAAGCGCACTTGTCACTGTCTAAGAAACTATATAATATAAAATAAAATATTATTACATCAATATCAAAGATGAAAAAACAAATGTTATTATTTAATTTGAGTTTCTTGGACTCATTAAATAGTTGGCAAGCAATAAATTAAAAATTTTATATGAATATGTTCTCCCTTATAACATCAATCTTTTCTTTTTTTCTTTTAATTAGATACGGATTCCTATACATAATGTGGTATTATAAAATTGAAACGAAAGAAGGAAAAAGAAAAAACCCTATAATTTAATCGTGTTAATTAGGAAATTAGCTAGATGCCAAATAGAAAAGCATAGATTAAAATAATTAATTAAGATTATCAACGTACCTTTACTTTTAAAAAAAAAAAAATTATTACATGAAACGTGACAGTGCAGACCATTACACACTAATGTTTCCCTACCGACCAACCTAACCTACAATTGTCTCAATTACATAAACAACTTTCCTAAATCATTTCGCCCATAACCAGAAGATTCATCTTGATTTTTTGCCCATTTATTTTCTTTCATTAATTATTTTTGCTCAGGCATAACCAACCATGATTACATGCAGGTTGAATTTTCTTTAATACTTTGGTTCAACTGGGCATTATAATCTCGATCAAAAGGTCAGAGAGTCAAGTCATCACTCCCGGCCCATATATTTTTTAATTAAAAAAATTGAAAATTTTTAAACTATATAAACCAAGTTGAAATTAAGATCAAACTATTGGGACCAAAATTGGAACTTTTAAAATAACCCAATTGAAACTAAACCGTCAACCAAATTGAAACCATTTCATTTTTTTTGTTTTTAAAAATTAAGCTTAAAACACTACTTCCACCCATGTGTTTCTTTTTAAAAATATTTTCAAAATCTAAGTCAAATGGATGAGGATGTAATGTTTACTTATTTATTTTTTAAACAACAAGTTGGAGCGAAAGATTTGAACTTATAACCTCTTGATCATGAGATAGATTCCAATTACCCAACGTGTCAGAAAAAAAAACGATAATCAAGCAAGCTCCAATATTTAGATTTATATTTTTTAGTTAATACTTCGACATAGTAAATCAATATTCAAAGACTTTCACATTTACCGCCATATTTAAATGTTAGTATTACAGAATAAATAAAATAAAAAAGGATTTTTCGAAATAAAAAAAATAAAAAAAAGACGCACATATTTTTTAGTTAGATGTAGTTCTATTATATAAATTTTACAAAAATGATGAACTTATTTTTGGTACTATTTTTTTTTTTTAGTAATGGTACTAAATTTTAATTGTCTTTTAATTTTCTGAAAAAGAAATATTGAAGGAGCTGTAGTTCGCACTTTTGGCTGTATTTGAACGAAGATTTCAAAGTAGGGTACTCGCGACAAAAGTTGTTGCAGTTGTCAACAAGGGTAAAAGAGTAAAAACGGCGCACAAAAACAGGGGGGATGACGTGGGAGGATCTGGTTGGTGGCTGGGAATGGGCATGAACAACCAAACCAAGAAGAGTTTACATTACACTGTGGGAAAAAACGAAGTTTTTAAATAAGCATCATTATAAAGTCATCCTCCTGGTATCTTCCAAATTCATTGGAGATTAAAAACTTAACCCTCTTCCCTTCTTTCGTTTAATTGCAGAGTAAAAGCAAAAGAAAAGGAAAAAAAAAAGGAAAAAAAAGGGGGGAAGAAGAAAAAGGAAAACCCCAAAAAAAAGGGCGAATTGGGATTTGGGAAGTGTTCTTTGGAGGAGAGAGTGTGGACAGATTGCAGTTCCAAGTTCCAAATAAGTCTTTTATCAATTATAATTCTGTAATATGTAGAGCTGGTTGAAGGGTCGAAGCCATGGCGTGCTCATGCCTTCACTCAATTCTCGATTTGGGTGCTTCTTTTTCTGCAATCCATCCTCATAATTGGGTATCTAACCTAACCCCATGTTTCTGCAACTCGCGTCTGCATTTTTTTTTTCTTGAAAATTCTTGCGTTTGCTTTGATGATGTATATTTCGTCTCTTCTTTTTCTTTGGTAATTTTGTTATTCTGGCGACTGATTTTGGTTCTGGCGATTGAAATTTCAGCTGGGTTTTGCTCTGTTTTAAGTGGTAGCGAATGCTAGGGAAAGGGGTACAGAAGATGGGGAAGACCCTTCGGCTGTATTGAATTATGAGAACACCAAGTGTAGAGAAGCAATTTTTTTGGTATCCTGCTCATAGGTTTTCAGAGCCCATACTTGAGTTTTCTGTGCGTTTCCTTGAAATATATCCTGCGGCTTTCATCTCCCTCCCCAGCTGAGGTATGCTATAATTTGTTTCTCCCAGAATCTGGAAGCTGCCTTTTGTTTTACCCCTATATATATATATATATATATATATATATATATGTTAGAGTTGAATCTCTGGCTTGCTCGTCTGGAGTATTGTACTTCCAGTTCTGGATTCTAAAGGGTTAGAGATTAGAGGTTTGTTTCTTTTTCTTCACCGACGTTTTTAAATTTTAATTCTGTTGTTTTAGCAATAACCTGCCTGTGCAGAAGTACTTTCTTCTCATGTTTAGAAGTTCTGAAAGTTCCCAATCAATTCAAGCCTTATGTTCAATTGTTCTTTCACTAGAATTGTAACAATATCTGACCTGTATTCGATGGTTTTCGACAAGATATAGACATCATGTGACATCTTGATTTGTTTATTTCTCTGCTATCAGGACCTCAAGGCATGAGTTCAAATGTTCTTTCTCTAGAATTGTTACAATATTTGGCCGTATTCAATGGTTTTCAACAAGATATGGACATAACGTAGTATCTTAGTTGGTTTAATTCTCTGGTATTAGGACTCGTTAATTATTTTTTCGAGGTTGGGCAGGCATTTAGAACTTAGAAGGTCATAATACAATGAATAATGAGGAAGTGTCTAACACACCAAGGACATCTGTGAAGATCTCATGGAACCATGGAGGGAAGCAAGTGGCTATTGTTGGATCATGGGACAACTGGGAGACAAGGTACTAATTTGCAGTTTAAGATGTTTGGTTCTGAACTTTTTGTCTAATATTAGGACATTTTCCATCTTCTTCTGCTAGGGAGATCTTGCAGAGCATAGGAAAAGAATTTATTATTATCAAGACACTTCCCTTGGGGATCTACCATTACCGCTTCATGGTTGATGGATGGTTGACATGTGCTCCTGACTTGCCATGGGTTTGTGATGATTCGGGGAATTCTTACAATATTCTGGACTTGATGGTAATTCATGACTTCTATTTCATCTGTTAACATAATTGACACCTTATGTAATATATCTGATAGCTTAAATATATAGTAACTTGAGACAATATGGTCTGTCTCGTTGTTCTTTTTCTCTCGTTATCAAAAAGATGATTTTATGATTTTATGTTTTCTTTCAACCAAATACTTGATAAATAGAAAGGGTCGTATTGGGTTGCCTTTGTTCATCTTTCTGTAAACATAATGCAGCAAAGAAGATTTATTCCATTTACACGAGCTTTAAAAATGAGAAAATATAGTTGTAGTTTCTACCTTTCCTTTTGATTTGGATGCGTGGTGTTTGGTCAATGATTCATTAGTATAGATCTTAAGAAGATTATAGAGGAAACTTTTCACCGCAAAGATTGTCCAAAAGTACTTTCTTTGTTTTTTCCTACTAAAATGGAAAAATGTAGATTATGGGGAGTGAAATTGGGTAGAACAGTTAAGTTTGCATCTTATTCTCATTTTATTTCTCATCAAAACTTATGGACTATTTGCTTTAGATTTTTGTTAGATAAGACTGTACATTCAGACATAGTGGAATTAGATATTATAACCACTTATGAACTATGTGGATCTTGGAACTGAAGGGCTTAAAATGGGAAGAAAGGTGTATATGTGATACACAGAGTATTAAAAGACCTGGCGTTTAAATTGGTTACCATACTGATGGTGGAAGGGAAGAAAATTACTTAGTTTTGGATGCCGTAAAGAGAAGCTCTGAAAACTGGCAACCTCGCCGGGTTGCATTAGGAGAATAGGTAGGCCAGCGGCACATCATCMGGAATGGATGAAATCAACGGATCGAGTATGAAATATCGAAGTTTATTTAGTTTCCGCTCTTCTTTATTGCTAATTTTTCTTAATTATGGTTAAATCTTGATAAAAGGGCCGTTTGTCTGCCCAGTACTAATTTTGGCTTCACATTGAATTGTGTTTTATAGGCACCTGTCTCGGAGTTGCCTGAAAGTCTGTCTGAGTTTGAACTTCCTCCATCCCCATCATCTAGTTATGATAGCCAGTACTTCAATGATGACGATTTCAGTAGGCCTCCACCGGACCTACCGCTGCACCTGCAAGAGACTATTTTGAACGAGCCATCTTGCTGTACAGGTGGTCATCAGTCTGGCGTGCAACCTCGACACACCGAATTAAATCATGTATACCTAAATAATGTTGGAGGCGAATTCATGGCACTTGGTTCAACATTCAGGTTTTGTGAAAAATATGTCACAATGTTACTTTTCAAGCCCTTGCTGAGAAGAAATTGATAGTCTTTGGTGAATCGTTTTTTCTTCTCTCTTCTAAATTTGTGGCCTACCCTTTTGTATTTCGATCCCGTAGCTGGGATCAATCGAGCGGAGCAATGATTATTTATGTGAGGATTGTCATACTAATATATTGAAGAAAGCTTGAAATAGGATTCATTTCCATATATTCTCATATTTAATATCTGTTCATTTTTTTATCTAATTCTCTATTTCCCAAATCTCTTGTATTTCTAAGTTCTTCACATGTATTGGTTTCTAAAAGAAGCCATGGAAATTGCAAGTGACCACACCCTCAAAAGTACTTTTTCGATGCAGCGTGAGAGAGCTGCTAGATCAAAAGAGGTTGGGATGAAACCGTTACGAGTACGCTTCATTTTCCTCACTAAACTTTATAGCGTCTTCTTGAAATTAATATCTGAAATATGCTGCAGAAGCACATCAGTTGTAGCTCCCAGAGGATTAAGAAAACAGCTACCATGTAGCAGTATTAGTCAGTTTTGATGCAGTTCCCTGGCTTCCTTTTGCATCTGTATGTGATTTCAACATATTACTCAAAGACACCAACAACAAATTCTTGTATTGAAATGGATGCGAAATCGAAATTGAACTGATTTACAATGGTTTGTATTGGTTTCTGAAATAACATTACAACTCAAAAACAGGCATAAGCAGTGGATTTGGTGGGATGATGTAGAAGAAGAGGAAGAAGATCTCAGGTTACTAGTGTCATGGTGGTCCGTGGGATGTACACAAAGAGGTTGATCAGATTCATCTCACAGGTACTTTAACCCAGCCATTGGCAAAAGCTATGGCTAAGATCACGAACGGAGTCGACATCCCGAAGATGATGATATAAGGCAGAGGAGTCTTCATGGGATTCTCCCCTTCCCTCTCCCCTGCTGACTGCCAATACCTGCACCAAAATTCAATCAGATTTCCAGCTTGGTGTAGCATTTGAAAACGATATCGAAAACAGAGAAAAGGGAAAGAAGGAACAGCTTACTGCTCTGGCTCTTCCTCTTTGGTTATAAACTTCTTCTTCCCTCCTCCCTTCTTGATCTCTGCATCTCCACCACCTGAAAAATAGCATCACCACCTTTCCAAAACCCATCAATATACATACGAACCGTTCCATTTCATTTAACCCAGAAAAAAGGAAGAAAAGAAAACAACCCATAGAATTTAGAAATGCAGAGTGGGTAGGAGATCGAAGCAAAGCAAAGCAAAAGCAGTTTCTTTTTACCTAAATTTGCAACAAGTTTGAAGCGAGAAGCTCTGGACTTGGGCTTTGGGTTTGGCGACGAGAGGCCTGAGGGAAGAGGAGCGAAGAAGGAAGATGGGTTTTGTTGGAGGGGAAATTTGATGGTGAGGGAAGAAGAAAGAGCGAATTTTGCGGCCATTGTTGAAGGGCAGAAGCAGGCGAGTGCTGTGTTAGCCCATTTTTTGGTTCAGTATCGAATATATTTCACGAGATTTGGATATGGATGTAGTGGCACTAATATTTTTGCTCTATCTTAGCCAATGAGCGACATGACAGCGCCACAGCCAAGCCCTCGGCCCCAGCTTCGTCCTTCCTTTGGATTTGTAATTGTGGTGAAATTTCAATCGCTAGATTGGATTTGTAAATGTGCTTTTATGGGGGTTCACATGGAATGGCCTATGGCTTTTACCGCTTTTGCCGGTAGCCCTCGACTTTTTTCTAGAAATTCATTTTATGCCTAATTAAATTCTCCTGTTGTGTTTAATAAAAATTAAGCCTTTTTTTATTTTCTACAAAAGTTTTAGTTCAAATTTTGGCTTCCAAATGCTACCAGAACTGTAGTGGTCTCTCATGTTCTCCATTTTTCTCGCTTTGTGTTGCAGCAAATCCAAAAGTTCAGCAAAAGAAGAGTTATTACCTGGACTTGGTGAGAGTTTCAGTCTCATCAGATATCTATTTTGTGGCATCTGAAATCTTATTTTGTTTTAATTGAAGGAAAAAATCACACCTCTTGCTTCAGAAAATAAGCCACAAAACATCATTATGTAGGCTGTTATGATAGAGTGATGCATATGACTACTTTGTGATAATTTCTCTTGATCTTCTAGTCAAATGTAGAGACATCCGCATCGGCATCGACATCTACATCCGAGTTGCTATCTACTGAATTCATCCCCTGAGAGTAAAAGTACTAGGCTCCAAACCCCCAAAAACAGCTGTGGCTTGCAACCTCTTGTTGGATTATGTGTTTGATGCATATTGAGATGCTTGTCTGTGATTTTTTAACATCAAACTTAAACACTGCTTACAAAGGGATGGGGAGAATAAGGATTATAAATTGATCACAGTGGATGGATTTGTAGTTACAAAAACTTCATTTTGTTGATGCTAATAACATTGTATTGTTAGTAATTCAGCTCTTATTTTCATTCTAGTTGTTCTTATGAACTCATCAAATTTTTTGTTCAACTCCTCTAAACTGATCATATCATTGCCGCCTCCTTGTTCTTGTTCTTGTTCATCATCGTGAGTTTCTTTAACGACTGAGAGAGTCTTATCATCCGCCGCCTCTAATTCATCATCTTGAGTTTCTTCAACGTCAAAGAGAGTCATATCATCCTCCACAACTTCTAACTCATCATCTCGAGTTTCTTCAACGATTGAGAGAATCATATCAACATCGCCGCCTCCTTGTTCTTGTTCATTATCATCGTGAATTTCCTCAACAACCGAGAGAGTCCTATCATCCTTCGCCTCTAATTCATCATCGTGAATTTCTTCAATGACAAAGAGAGTCATATCATCCTCCCTGACTTCTAATTCATCATCTCGAGTTTCTTCAACAAACAGAGTTTCACCAGCCTTCTCATCGTTGTCCTCCGCAATCAGAATCTGATCTTCGAAAACTCGTACAACATGCAATGATCCCGTTTCTTTCTCATCTCCAACTTCACCAACTGTTCTACTTCCATCCAGTGAATTAACAGTAGAGGGAGAATTTAGACAAATGAAAACAAGTAGGCTATTGCAGAGTAAGAACATATAACTCTTGTGGATTGTGGCAGACAAGTAGAGAGTCCATGAGAAAGCTGCAGAGAGTGAGAGGAAGAAGAAAACTGTAATGGAAACTGCAAAAATGGAGATGAAGATCTTCATTGCTTTGAAACTAAAAGTTCGATGTGGATTGGAACAATGCTGGTGGGAGTTGTATATAAACAAACCAAAGGCCTATTCTGCTGATGGGTTTTCTGTACAAACTCGTTTTGCCTTTTCAAATCTGTGTCACAAGCCAAACAATTTCTCGAGTCTTTCTCTGCATTTTCTGTTGAGTTTTCGGACTCTTTCTTGGTACAAGTCTTTATGAAGTAATATAAAAATAAACGAGTTGACTTGACTTGGGAGAATTTCTCTTTGTTGTCAAATCTTTATGTGGCTGCTCTGTAGTTTCCTACCTTTTGCAATGGAGAAGAAAATTTTGCTGTAGTTTTGTAAAGTTCCCGTTTATTTTTATTTCTGTTTCTCATTTACTTTTTTTAATCAAGAAAAACAACAATTTATTCAAAAAAGGAAACGAAAATTTGGTATTTGGCAACCTTTCTTGTTATCTAAAATTGTAGTTTATTAAAAAAAATAAATCTAAAAACAATGAATTTAATGAAAAATTATAGTGTTGTTTAAGGTGTTTAGTAATATATTTATAAACTAGTGGTAGTTACTCCTAAATATTTAATTTATTAAAATAATATTAACTAATCTATTAATATATATGTTATAATTTATAATGCATTATATTTTACATATTTTAATTCTAACAATAATGAAATGAGTTTATAACGAAAAATAGTATATAACTTTTTTAAATGTAATTGTGCACTATAAAGTTTTAAATTTAAAATTTAAAAACAATTTCTACTATTTTGGGTTATAGAATCTGAAAATAGTTTTAAAAGACAAATCTTGAACTCGAATGAAGAAACAATATCAAAATAGACTATAAAAATTAATATGAAATCTAATTTTTCAAATTAAATATTCAAATTTTCATGTTATATTTATTTTTTTTATATTTATTATGTACTTTTTAAATAAAAGATCATATTTTTATCTATGTGTTTAAGAAACTGAAAACAAGTAAAAATACTTAATTTGTTGATTYTAAAATTTCAACACAAATAAATAAAGGCAAGATGACCAGAATGTTTGAGACACCTATTTCTGATAAAAAAATTTGTGAATTCGAATTCCTACTTCACTTTTCTTTTTTCTTCTTCCTTTTTTTTCCGAGAAGTATCCAACTTATTATACTAAAAACAAAATGATATATAAAAAATCGTGAACTCGAATTTCCAATCCACATATTATTTATTTATTTCAGAGGTACTACTAAAAAACAAAATAATATTTTATAAAGTATTTGGGTTAAATTTTTTAATTAAAAACTTTTTTAAATAAAAAAATTAATTAATTATACATAAAATATAAGTAAAAGAACTGCATGATTCTCTTATGATCTAAAATTAATGAGTTTAGTTATCTATCCATCAGTGTTAGGACTCGTTTTCTCCCACCAAAATAAAAATAATAATAACAATTTAAATAACATAAAATATCTTTATATATCTGTAATTAAAATAATTATTTTTATCTTAAAAAACTAAAATAATTAGTTTCGAAGTTAAAACCAAAATGGTATTGTTTTCTGGAAAGCGTTGAGCAGTGTGAATATAAAGATCCCACCTTGGCGGATGGAGCGCGCCAGCATCTCTTGTTCAACCTTAACTTGGTAGTTCTGTAACTTGTATTACGTGAGGATTCATTCAAATTTTCTTTGCCCTATCCGAATTTTCTGGCGAACTAATTTGCAAAACTTCTACCATGGATCGGAGGTGGCAGGATTTCTACTTCATACTCACTATTCCAATCGGTTAGTGGATTTTCAACTCCCATGTTTTTCGCTTTCCTTCGATTTGCGTCTGAACTGGGTGACAAAGCAATCTAACAACGAGTTTCTTGAATTTATTACCACCTTAATTGTTGTTAATTCAATCGCAATCCATAAACTTGTGCGAAAATCATGAGGTTCGTGCCCTTTCGTAGATTTTCCACTCTGCTGGGCTCTGTACCCAGAAATTCTGCATCTGCGAACCCTAAAATGGATGTCAATTTAGGGAAAAAGAATTGGAATCCAACCCCAATACCTCACCGATCAATTCCCGAACCCAGAGGACAAGACCTTGATGTTGTTAACGTGGTACATAGCCATCTGATCCATTCGGATTGGACTAAACTTGATTGTTTGTCATTGGGTCTGACGGCGTTCAGAGTCAAACACATTCTACTAAAGATTCAGAAGGACTATGTAATTTCGCTCGAGTTCTTCAATTGGGTTGCAACTCAGAATCCTTCTTCCCATACCCTTGAAACCCATTGCATAATTCTCCATATACTTGCTAAACATAGAAAGTTTAAGTCTGCAGAATCAATTCTGAGGAGTATGATAGAATCGTGCTCTATTGAGTTTCCTTCTAAGCTGTTTGAATCCTTACTGTACTCCTACCGAGTATGTGATTCTTCCCCACATGTTTTTGATCTGCTTTTCAAGACTTTTGCTCATTTGAAGAAGTTCAGAAATGCCTCTGATACATTTTGTAAGATGAAGGATTATGGATTTTTACCCACTGTGGAATCATGTAATGCATTTCTGAGTTCCTTGCTTAATTTTAACAGAGGCGATATTGCTTTGGCGTTTTATAGGGAAATGCGGCGCAGTAGGATTTCCCCAAATTCTTATACTCTCAACTTGGTAATTTGTGCTTCCTGTAAATTGGGAAGATTAGACAAGGCTACCAAGGTGTTTGAGGAAATGCGAATCATGGGTTTTTCTCCAAATGTTGCATCTTATAATACACTCGTTGCAGGCTATTGTAATAAAGGTCTTCTAAGCTCAGCCATGAAGCTTAGAACTGCAATGGAGAAAAATGGGGTTCCTCCAGATGTTGTTACTTTTAACACTCTAATCAATGGGTTTTGTAAGGATGGGAAGCTTCAAGAAGCAAGTAAATTATTCGGAGAGATGAAAGTGATGAGTTTATCTCCTACTACTGTCACCTACAATACTTTGATAAATGGCTACAGCAAAGTGGGCAACAGTGACATGGGCAATCAGCTTTTTGAAGAGATGTTGAGGTTCAAAGTGAAACCCGATATCCTTACTTACAATGCCCTGATCTTGGGACTATGCAAAGAGGGAAAGACAAAGAAAGCAGCGTTTCTGGTTAGAGAGCTTGATAAGATGAATCTAGTTCCCAATGCTTCAACCTTTTCTGCTCTAATTTATGGGCAATGTGCAAGGAAGAATTCAGAGCGTGCGTTCCAAATATATAAAAGCATGATAAAGAGCGGTTTTAGTCCTTGTGATCAGACGTATGGGATGTTACTATCCACATTCTGTGAGAACGAGGACTATGATGGAGCAGTCCAATTATTGAAGGAAATGTTGAAGAGGCACAAGGCCCCGGATCTCGATATCTTATCCGTGGTCTGCACTGGACTCGGCCGGTGTGGGAAACTCCAAACAGGTATAATGTTATGCAGTGAGTTGGAAGCTCAACATCTCTTGCCAGAAGGTTTTGACGACAAATTCAAAACTTCAGAAGCATTTGGAGAGCCAACTGTTTTATGATGTTGAAGTTTATGATTTTGATAAGAGTTATCAACGTGGGATTTGGAAAACTCATTCTGGTTTCATATTTTCACCAGAGATTGTTCTGCCGAACACAGCGATGTGTCCAACTTGGAGATAATGGCGAAACACAAAGATGAACTAACATGCAAAGATCAGCTCCAAAAAGCAAGCCTTGATGCCGTGCCACCATTGACTACAAACAAACCATAGATTTGTATTTACTTTCTTTATCTGTTGATTTGCAAATTTCAGTCAACAGCTCTGTATCAAATTATTAAATGAAGGAATTATGAATCTCTCATGGGCTCTCTCTCTCTCTGGATTGGTGCGTGAGATTGGAGGAGTTGTTTGTGAGGCTACTGAGCATCTAAAAACCTTCACCTTTCCAATCTGCATCATCAATGGAGCCGGTTTTATTTCATTATTGTGATATGCATTATGCCAAAATGACTAGTCAATTTATCAAAATACTTAGTGGGTCTGTCCAACATCACTTTTACAACAATCTTAAATCATCAATAGCATCATGTGTCTGGTAACACAATATTTGCCCAAATAATACCTGCAAACAAAATTGTGGAGGATGAGCATACAGAACGAGAAGACAAGTAAATAATAGGCATGGGATTCGAACAAATAGGAAGTGGGTTAACAATAATTGGCGTTGGAATGAAAAACATGCGTTGTTCAAAACAATGAATAATAATATCTGCCCCCCTAAAGTCCCCATCTGTTGGTGGTTGTTGGTGTTGTTTTCCTAAATCCTATTGTTGTCCAGTGGTGTGGTTTCACTGTGCACTAAAATCCCACAAATGTAATGTGGTGTCGAAGGCAGAGGCGGCGACATATCTGTCATCGGCGACAATCGCATTGGCCGCTCCGATCCTCTCTCCGAATCGGTACAGCAACCCTCCACGCTCTATTTCCCACACCTTAATGATGCCGCCGGTGCTGATAACGGCGTAGCCCGTGTTCATGCAC